CCTACGTCATATTCTAGATGTTGCACATTCATGTTCTGCATGCCAGTAGTACATTCGACCAATCATATGGACTCATTTTATTGATGACATTTGATTTAGATGACGGGGGCTGAGCTGCTCGGTGGCACACAGTGTTTTAGGAGCAGGAGAAAGAGAGGAGTGAGGGAAATGTAGATTTATTGCAACTGACATCGTCATGCAATATTCAATAATAATATGGCAAAAACATGTTTTTTAGTTATTTGTGCGGCTCTAGTGTTATTTTTATGCAAGAGTTCTTGAGACGTTGGTCTATTCAGAAGCTTCAATATATCTTTTTAAAACAGGAATGTATATATAAAAAGAAAATACCTGTCTAATATGATTGTATCAAACAGTCACAATCCTCATGTTTTATTGAAAGTAACCGGTTCTGTTCTTAATGCACCACAAATGAACTGTATTGAACCCTCACCTGCTGCATGTGAAAACTTTCTCCATTTCTTTGTTGAGAGAGTCAATTCCACCAGAGCCCAGATCTCACCTTCTGCTCATGACCCCTCAGCCTTTGTGCCCTGCTCGGCTGTTTTGGACACCTCTGAACCTGTGACTCTGTCGTCTCTGCAGGAGGTGGTCAGTCACTTAAAGCCAACAGGTTCACCAAGTGATGCTATTCCTCCTTGTTTATTCAAATAAGTTTTCCTCACTGTGGGTCCTTCGGTCCTTACTCTTCTGAACAGCAGTCTGTCCTCTGGTGTGGTCCCTGGAAATTTTAAACATGCAGCTGTCCAGCCTCTCATTAAGAAACCCACTCTTGACCCCTCTGTTCTTGCTAACTACAGGCCAATCTCTAAACTGCCATTGTTTCCAAAAATTCTTGAGAAGGTGGTGTGCAACCAACTATCAGCATATTTGAAAGAACAGAACATTCTCGAGGTTTTACAGTCTGGTTTTAAAGCTCTACACAGAACAGAATCTGTTCTTTTAAAGGTTTTCATTAACATGTTTTTAGCAACGAAGTCTGGTGACTGTGTTGTCCTCCTGCTTTTAGACTTATCTGCTTTTGACACAGTGGATCATAACATCTTACTTTGTTGTTTGAAGCTGGGGGGGGGGGCTCAGTGGTGCAGCACTGGACTGGTTTAAGTCCTACTTACCATACCATTTTATTTATAGAGCACTTAAAACAGCGACAAGGCCAGTCACTTAGCGGAGCGTACTTTCTGTGTCCGCCTTGGTGACCACATGTCCTCCTCTGCTCCTCTCTTGTGTGGGGTTCCACAGGGGTCAGTCTTAGGCCCCGTGCTCTTCACACTGTACCTGCTCACTCTTGGCTTTATTTTTAGAAAATATGGGATCTCCTTTCGTTGTTACGCAGATGATACACAGATATATGTCTTGCTAAAGAAAAAGGACTCTAACTCTCTGGCCCCTCTGTTTTCATGTCTGGAGGACATCAAAGCCTGGATGGCTGTGAACTTCTTAAAGTTTAATGAGGAAAAGACTGAGGTGATTGTCTTTGGAAGCTGAGACTTCCAATGTCGATGTTGGTTCCTGGGCCCAGTATATCAGGCCAACTGTTAAAAACTTGGGGGTCAAAGTCGATGCTGGACTAAAATTAGAAAATCTCATCAGAGCAGTTGTTAAAACTAGTTTTTTTCCATCTGAGGCAGTTAAAGTGAAGCCGATTCTTTCTCAGCTGCATTTTGAAACAGAAGTTTACGCTTTTGTGACCGCTCAGCTGGACTACTGTAATGCACTCTATACAGGAATCAGTGATTCATGTATCTCTCAGCTTCAGAGGGTACAGAACGCTGCTGCACATCTTTTAACTGGCACATGAAAGTTTGACCACAGTTCCCCTGTTTTATCTTCCCTGCACTGGCTGACCGTACATTTTAGGATTAATTTTAAAATTATTTTATATTAAAGCTCTTAGGGCGGGGCAAGTCCATTATCTGTCCGAGTTGCTACATCCATACACACCCTCTTGATCCCTCATTTCATGTGATCAGCTGCTCCTGAATGTGCTGAAGACAAAGCGTACGCTCAAAGGAGACCGTGCTTTTGCTGTGGCAGCTCCTAAACTGTGGAACGACCTTCCCTTGAACATCAGACAGGCCTCTTCCCTGTCTGTTTTTAAATCCCTTCTTAAAACCCATCTCTTCTCCCTGGCCTTTGACACCATCTGAGATTTTGACTTTTAATCATTTTAATAATTCTTATTATCTGACTGTATGATACTTTGTTGTGTGTACAGCACTTTGGTCCTGTGGGTGTTTAAAGTACTCTATAAATAAAGCTGGTATTGTATGGTATATTTATGTCTCATTAGTAGATGCAACATCTTTCTTTACTATATGTATATTATATCTAAATTATTCTGTGTATTAGAACAAAATGCATTGTTTTTTAATATTTCAAACCAAATGTATATTTTCAAACTGCTCTTGAGTTGGACAGTAGTTGGGTAAGAGAATGCACACAGACACACAAAATAGTTGCATTTTGGCCTAAAAATCCAGCCCGGCCCTAGCCCTTAGGTATTTTTTCTGAGCCCAACCTGACTAATTAATTGTAATTACAGGCCCAAATCTGAAATAAAACCATCCATCCATCCATCCATTATCTTTACCCGCTTATTCCATTTTGGGTCACGGGGGTCGCTGGTGCCCATGTCCAGCAATCACTGTGCGAGGGGCGGGGTACACCCTGGACGGGTCGCAAGTCCATCACAGGGCCACATAGAGACAAATGAGACAAACAACCATTCACTCTCTCACTCACACCTAGGGACAATTTAGAGTTACCAATCAGCCTAACATGCATGTTTTTGGACTGTGGGAGGAAACCGGAGTACCCGGAGAAAACCCACGCATGCACGGAGAGAACATGCAAACTCCACCCAGAAAGGCCCCTGGACCGGGGTTTGAACCAAGGACCTGCTCGCTGAGAGGCAGCAGCTCTACCAGTTGCGCCACCGTGCTGCCCGAAATAAAACCCCATTTTTTAATTATTAAGCTTATCCAGCTTTTGTAAACAAATCAGTTTAACATGTTAGTTTTAAAACGTTTTTTTTTAACGTATTTCATAGAAAAGAAGATATAAGATTTATTGTTTATTAACAAGTCACCAAATTAATATTAACATACCATACCATACCAATTTATTTATATAGCATTTAAAACAGCAACAAGGCCAACCAAAGTGCTGTACAAAAGAACACAAACATGCACAGCAGACAGGAAAACATAAAATAGAAATACAGATACAAATAGCAGCAGAAGCTAACTAAAATGGCCAACAGAGTAGAGAACAGACCGGACCAAAACAAATCACACCGTGTTAAAGGCAAGCGAATAGAAGTGGGTCTTCAAGCAAGACTTAAAGACTGAGAGTGTGGGAGCCTGCCGGACACTCAGTGGCAACTCATTCCACAGTCGTGGACCTGCAACAGAGAAAGCCCTGTCACCTCTGAGCTTACGACGGGTTTCTGGGACTGAGAGAAGCATCTGGTCTGCTGACCTCAGAGAGCGCGGTGGGACATATGGCTGCAGAAGATCAGTGAGATAGGATGGGGCGGAACTGTTCAGTGATTTAAAAACATACATGAGAATTTTGAAATGGATCCGAAGGTGAATGGGTAGCCAGTGCAGGGAGGCCAAAACTGGCGTGATGTGCTCTCTATAGCCTGTACCAGTTAAAAATCGGGCTGCAGCATTTTGGACCAGTTGTAGACGAGCAATGGAGGACTGACTGATTCCAAACAGAAGTGAATTGCAGTAATCAAGCCTAGATGTTATGAAGGCGTGGATCACTGTCTCGAGGTTCTTTTTGTTGAGTATAGGCTTCAGCTTAGACAGCCGTCTCAGCTGAAAAAAACAGGATTTGACCATCATGTTTACGTGACTGTTGAGTTTTAAGGACGGGTCCATTATCACCCCCAGATTAGTGACCTTTTGTGTCTCTAGCGGGGCTAGAGAGAATAGGTCAATGTCATAGTTCATGAGTGAGCCACTGGGATGGAACAGCATGACTTCAGACTTCTTCTCATTGAAGCTTAAGAAGTTTAAAGCCATCCAGTCCCGGATGTCAGCCAGGCAGTCAAGAAGAGGCTGAATAGAGCGTGTGCCTCTGTGCCTCAGGGGGAAGTAAATTTGGCAATCATCGGCATAGAAATGAAAGGGTATGTCGTGTTTGCGGAAGATAGCACCTAGTGGCAGCAGGTATAAAGAAAAGAGAAGGGGACCGAGGATGGACCCCTGACCCCCGTCTCTAACATAGACGAATAGCCTAAAATATCAACTCTAAAGATAGGCTATTATGCAGATGAACAAAAATATTTTTAGAGCAAAATTATTTGGAAAAAAACATTTTAATTCAACGCACTGCTCGCTCCGGCTTTTGTAGCTTCAGGTGCTGCAACTTCCTTCACCGCAGATGAGAGCAGGGTGCGGAACGGGATGTGCACAGCCCATGATCCGGTTGTCCATCTGAAGCTTAAGACATTTTTTTTTTTTACATCTTTCAACCAGCTGATCGGACCCGAGCGTGCACCTGACACACATCAGCAGGTTTCACTGTGCTGGCTTTGTAGAGTGAGTTCTCCCATTTTTAGCTTTTGTTTAATACTTTCCAGCTCCTTTTTGTCACTAGTTGTGGGTCAATTGCAAGTCCACACATGTGTGATATGAGCAAAGGGCGGGCGGGGCCACATGCACAATTAAAACTGCATCAAAAGCCCGAGACCGATCAAGCACATAATTTTGGCGATTCCACTCGAAATTCAGGCTGGGTCAGGCCAAAAATGGCAGCTCTAACAGAAAGTCATTTGCCACTGATGGAAAATACTCCACGTCGTTGCAGACTGACTTGTGTTGTAAGATCTGTAGACAAGCAGCCCAGAGCTCCGATCTTCTGCCACAGCCCTGGATCAACAGTCACACTTTGGCTCACTGAGGCCGTTGTGCCCTCTGTGCGTCTGTGTTTGTGAAGAGCTGTTTTCTGTGTTGTCGTCTCAGGATTTCATGATGCAGCAGACTATGCTGAGGGTGAAAGATCCAGTCAAATCTCTGGATTTCTACACCAGAATCCTCGGCATGACGTGAGTGTCTGTGGGTTTCACACTAACAGGCTGGGGAACAGAGACATTTTAATAGATTTCGACAAATCCCTACATTATTCAGCTTTTCTCTGTATATCTGTTCTTCAACATAAAACGTGGTTTATGAGCATGTTTTGTCTCCGGTGTGCAATATCTCGCAGGCTACTGCAAAAGTTCGACTTCCCCTCTATGCATTTCTCGCTCTTCTTCTTGGGCTACGAGGACAAGAAAGAGATTCCTGCAGATGTGAAGGAAAGGACGGCCTGGACCTTTTCCAGGAGAGCCACCCTCGAGCTGACCCAGTAAGGGACCATATCCTTAGAAGAATTTCTTCCCTGTCTTTAAATAAAAATCCAGACTATTGTTTGTCCTGTATTCTTCATGAACTCTTGTCATGTTAGTGAGGGGTTTTGTGTTCAGCTGCTGAATTATTTACATCTACAGTAATTCATATGCTGTATGTTTTGTAATAACTAGAGCTCCAGAGAGACTCATTATAGGGATATCTGAATACACATAATTTTCTTGATTGGTAATTTCTCTCTCCTCGTGTCCTTCGTGTCTTTCAGTAACTGGGGTTCAGAGTCTGATGAGAGTCAGACCTACCATAATGGAAACTCTGATCCTCGTGGCTATGGTAAAAATACAGGGTTTTTTTTTGCATTTTTTTAAATAGTTTCTCTCAAATTTATAAGTGGAAATAAGAAGTAAGATATGTATTTCTAATGATGTAACTGAATATCATGGCATGTGTTTATATTTCTTGTTTTATAACACTTTGCATTTGCTGTTCATTTGTATTAAAAAATGCCTTTTGTATAACAGTGCGACTTTATAATAATTAATTGTTTTGATGCGACAGGACACATTGGAATTGCGGTACCTGATGTTTACGGAGCCTGTAAACTGTTTGAAGAGCAGGGAGTCAAGTTCGTCAAAAAGCCAGATGATGGTGAGACGGAGGGTTTGTCAGTGTCGCTTGTATATTAATTTAGGAAAAAACAAGCAGTCATGTCAAGTATTTAAATTACTATATCAATAGTTTGACACACGGGTATCAAGGAACAGGGTGTCAGCACATCATTAAAAAGTCTTAAATTCATGCATCTAAAATTAAGGCCTGAAAATGTCTTAAATTCTTTAAAACGTGTAAGTTGATCTTAAATACATTACTCAAAGGTCTTACAGTTTGTTGGGCCATGAGGGGTTAATGTTGTTAGTCACTGCGACAGATTTCCATCATCTGTAAAAATGAGAGGGAAAATCATATTTAAATCGGATGGTCTCTTTGTCACGCCCCCTCCTCCATTGCTGGCCCTCTTCCTTATTGACAGTCGTGTCAAACTGGTTGAAAACAACAAAGTCCATGCTCAATAATCCAGGTATACAATCCAACATTTTTCAGTCAGGTCCGATCGAACGAACTGATCTTATCACAAGCAGAACTGGTTTGTTCCACTTTGGAGTAAGCTGTTGGGGGAAGAATCAGTTTTGTTGTGTGTTTCCTTGACTGATGAAGCCTTCCGGATCGAAGGCGAAATGTTTCAGCACAAAAAAAGAAACTGTCCAGATGACCTGACTGAAAAATGTTGGATATAAACACACTTTTGTTTTTGCTCCCATTTTTCATGAATTGAACTCAAAGATCTAAGACTTTTTCTATGTACACAAAATGCCCTTTCCTCTCAAATATTGTTCACAAATTTGTGTAAATCTGTGTTAGTGAGCACTTCTCCTTTGCCGAGATAATCCATCCACCTCACGTGTCAGCATCCCAATTGCACACTCCCTCAAAACTTGACATCTGTGGCATTGTGCTGTGTGAAAACTGCACATTTTAGAGTGGCCTTTTATTGTGGTCAGCCTAAGTCGCACCTGTGCAATAATCATGCTGTCCAATCAGCATCTTGATGTGCTACATGTGAGGTGGATGGATTATTTCAGGAAAGGAAAAGTGCTCACTAACAAATTTACACAAATTGTGAACAATATTTTGGCCTTTTACCAGAAAATAAAAAAATAATGTAATTAAAAGGCCAAAAAATGCCTTTTTTGTTTATAGAAAAAGTTTTAGATCATTAAGTTTGGCTCATGAAAAATTAGAGCAAGACCAAATGTGTTGCATTTATATTTTTGTTCAGTGTGTTTAAAAATGTTAAATATGAAAAGAAACATTAAATTAACCAAAATGGTAGTTTTCATTATACTGAATTAAATTGATCAGTTAATCGTTTCTGCTTGAAAAAAGTTTTTGAAACACCCACACCCCCAGTACACTATCCTGGTGTGTAAATATTTTTAAATGAATTCTCATCTCTCTGAAAAGATACATGCTCCTTTTTCAGCTCTAGTTTTTGTAACTTTGGGATTTTGTGTTTACGGTTGATTTTTCTTTTTCAAATGTTCTAAAAAAATTCTGTTCTTATTCGTCAGGTAAAATGAAAGGCTTGGCCTTCATTCAGGACCCTGATGGATACTGGATCGAGATCCTGAGTCCTAACAATATGGTGTCCATCACCTCCTAAAGCTGACTGGATCCTGCCTGCTGCACTACGTCGGTCTGCTATGGCTTCATGAGAGCAGAGCAGAGGAACTGAGCAACATTTGAGAGCTGTGAACAAATGGAGCGGGATCATTTGTACATCAGTGATAGTTTACAGAGGCGTGGGTTGGACTTCAGTGGGACAGTTTACATTCAAACAAACTAGATAAATGACATTGCTTTGTTTAAGGAACTACTCTGTATAGTTCCTGCTTTTGTCCAGCAGTGTTTTATCAAAGGTAATGCTGAAACAAAGTTCTAATACTGTTTAATAAACATAAAAGCCACAGAGGAAATTGTTTGAATTTCTTTTTACTGTTTTGTTTTGAAGAAAGTCCAAAAACAGCAAAAAGTGACAGCATCTGTTGATGACTTTAAACATCTGTATCAATATATTTAGTTTCAAGTGTGGTGGAGAGTTATAACATTGCAGAACTTGATGTTTTGAACCACTTTGGTCATGACTGCCTCAGACGTGTTGGCAGGAGAGAGGGTGAACATCAGAAACAATCTTGTCACCATCAAACTGGTTGACCCACTATGTGAAGGTGCTATTTATGAGACTGAGTTTGCTGTGGCTCCTCGAACTGATGAAGTCTTTTGGATGAAAGACGAAACGTTTCAACACAAAGCAACTGTCCAGAGGACCTGACTTAACTTTGTTAGATTGTTTTACCTGGATTATTGAGCATGAACTTTGACTTAATGGTAATTGAGTTTAGAAAACTGTAAAACCGTTCAGTGGCTATCAGGATGATGTTAGAAATCTGGAATGATTGTTCAGTAAAAACAGTGAGGCAATGTGTAAAAGTGAAAACCTCTGTGTTACCTGGGTTCTCTGAAAACTGACTGAGGTGTAGGAAGCGTCTTCAGGCATGAACAATTGTGGAAACTCCAGTTCCACCAAGTCTGACGGAACAATCACTTGCTTGGCGCTGGGGTGCTGTCCCTTTTTATAAGCGCCCCTGCCCCACCTGGCATTCTCATGTATTTCTTCGATGTGACCATCCAAGCAGGACCAGGTGAAGATACCTTACTCAGTTTTCAGAAAACCAGGGTTGCACTGGTAACCAAAAGTTCTCTTTTTAAATGTTGCTCGTGGGCCTCAAACCTCATCTCGGACCCAAGGTCAGCCCCCTAGCTCATGCTGACCCCTGGCTTTGACCTCCCTCAGAAGCGGCAACTCAAACTATCAATAAATCAAGGAAACGTGAATTAACATCCTGATGCATGCTCAATAATCCAGGTAGAAAAATCTAAAAAAGTTAAATCTGGTCCTCTGGACATAAAAAAAAACAAAACAAAGCAAAACAAAAAAAATGTAGAAACGTTTCGTCTCTCATCCAAGAGACTTCCTCAGTCTGAGGTGCTGTATTCAGCTCAGTCTCTTAAATAGCACCGGCTCAGGGTGGATCAACCAGTTTTGCTACTGACAACCAAAACCAGCTGATCACATGCTCAAGAAGGACCATCAGCCTAACAATGGATCATTAGCACACTGATGGCTGTTTACTGTTCACAGAGGGTTGAGTGATACTAGCAATAACAGCATTGTAAGAGGGGGACAGTTGAACCCGGAGGCCTCCACCCCTGTTTAATGATGGACGATTTATTTTCACAAAGATGGCCTCCTTTACTCCTCTCTCAAACCATCGTTCCTCTCTGTCCAGGATGTGAACATCTTCATCCCTGAAAGAGTGACCGCTGGCCTGGAGATGAGTGTAGACCGCAGAGTCCTGGCCTGATGATGTTGATCTTCTGTGCTGGGCCATCCTTTTGGCCAGTGGCTGTTTTGTTTCCCCGATGTAAGACTGATCACAGCCCTCCTGACACTGAACAGCATACACAATATTACTCTGTTTGTGCCGGGGGGCTGGATCTTTGGGATGAACCAGTCTTTGCCGTAATGTATTTTGGGGTTTAAAAGCCACTGGGACGTTATGTTTAGAAAATAAACGTCTCAGTTTCTCTGATACTCCCTCAACATATGGAATGACCACTGGTCTGGGTCTGGGTTCCTCCTTTTCACCTGTTGGCTGACTGGAGTCCTGTTTGGGTTTCTTCTCTGCTTTCAGGAAGGCCCAGTTAGGATATCCACATTGCTCTAGAGCCTGTTTTGTGTAGGATTTCTGGGATAAACAAGGCGACTTCTGGACACAGCAGACTGTACTCTCTACTCTCCCTTATGCTTATCAGCACAGTGGAGGATGAAAAACCAATAGCTTCAATGAAAAGCGTCTGCAACATGATTCACTAACCTTAGGCACAAAAGCAGGGTTATGGTGCATGGCTATCTTCTTGCCTCTGGAGGAAACCGGATGCATGCACAGACAAAGCATGCAACTTAGTCTGGCAACATTAGAACCAGTATCTGGATAGTTTTCAGGGACAGAGCCCTTTAGTTTGTGCAGACAATGGTCTCAAAAGGCATTGACTCCTGAGAGGACTACAGATAAATCTCATGATGGGAGGGGCTTCACTGCAGGGCGGACAATGCGTACCCCTCATAAACCTCTTATTCAGCCATCCACGGCCTGCTGGGCCGATGTGGTGTTACTATGTCTAGTAGTAGTAGCTGGCAGGGTCTACTGTTGGGTGCCCCCCTATACGTTATCACTGTTGTCTATTCTGGCAGGACAATTCTGTAGTAATTGTAAAGTGTTTGAGAGCCTTAAATGAACCACCATAAACTCTGGGTAATTTATATGAGCAGGCCGAAGCATTAGGGGTCAGGTCCCATCTGTTTACCAATCTGACGAGGCCAATTCAAATTACCTTTTTATTTAAAACACCTTGCAGTTCAGTTCCATCTGCAGATCAAACATAGACTTTAATTGATTCTGATGCAGAAAAAAAATACTAGGCTCATTATTTTAATATAAGTTTGTTGACAAGTTTAAAGTAAAGCAAAATGTTACATTTTTAAATACTTATTGGTAAAAGGCTAAAAGATTGCATTTATATGGCATACGCTTACCGAGTTTCAGTTTCAAACTGCAAGCATCCAGAACATTTGTTTGTAGATTTTATACATTGATGACCCGATCAGAGACGCTGATAACTTCATTAGTCACATGTGGAGAAGAAGATCAAACCATCACTTGAAAATTTGTGGATGAGGAATCTGTCAAAGCTCTCATCTGTCTTGTGAACTATCTCACCATCTAAAGTGACCCAAAACATTCATGTTCCACCTCGTTGGGGTCCTCTGTCTGATTCAGCTCCCAGTTAAGCAGCAGATCACCAGACCCTCCGCTGTGGTGTCATTCTGCGTTAATAAGTAAATCAAGCGTTCCACTGCAGCGACTCAGCGCGGCTCACACAGCTGCGGGCTGGATTACTAACTGGGTTTGTAGGAAACTACATATTTACTCATCATTCCTGAGGACATCGTTAGGTCAAGCATCACATGTGATAAGCTGACATTTTATTTTATTTTATTGCTCTTTTCAGCACATTAAGACTACTAACAGGTCAAGTGAACATCCCTGAGCATCTTGTTACAAACCAACATCCTGAGGCAGAAGCTCTAATTTGGTATAAATTAGAATCTTATGACCCAGTGCATCCTGATTAAGATACAATAACTTCCTTTATCTTTATCATTGCACACACACACACCCTTACTCTGATCTGTGGTTATGATCACTGGCTGGTGAAAGCTGAAACTGCAAATTAAAGTCATATCTATGTCTTGGAAATACTTGTATAGTTTAATACAGACAGCCAATGTTATGGTTATATCATCATTTTTTCTTTCTTCTTCTGGTTGATCTCTGAATCATCCTTCCTGCTGAAGCTGGCTGGAGCTTCTCCTGTGCTGCATGACTGAAGGAGGAGGTGAACCACTGCCCCAAAGCCGTCAGTCTTCTCTAGCATGAAACCTCCAGCTCAGCTTTTTGTGTACTGTCTCAGAGGAGCACGTTAACTCGCTCCCCCTGAGCTCTGCTCTTCCCACGGAGGGACGACAGAAGATGAGCTGTGGTACTCTGGAGACCAAAATATTTTGACGTTTTTATTTTTATTTTATTTTTGCGCATAAAACTTAACTTCTGCACTTCCTGTAATCTTTGACCACCCCAGAGCCAAACTGGAACTTCATCCATGTACGCAATTTGTTTGCCTGATATTTCAATAAATAATAAGCTGTTATTAAGTATATTCTACATTAGTTATACTTTAGTTGGATCCATAACTTTGTCATTCTCCCATGTAGTAGCTTAAAGTTAAATATTTTACTTCCAAACACCCTTACGTCCATATTGGGCATGTTATGAACAATTAATATCTTACCTGTGGTACATATCTTTTTTTAAAGTCTTACTGAAGACAAACATTTTCAGTGTGACCAGAGTGATGGACTAACGGCTCGTTCGAATGAAGCTGAGACCGAAGTGGATTGCTGTATCCTTGAAACATACAAGTTTAAAACTTTCAGAGAAGTTTATGTGAACGAAAGAAGTAGCCAGGTTCAGTCATTTACATTATATACATATTCAGATGTTTATTTTATCACAACAATAAACAACATTGATGGAACAAACAGTAAAGGGAATGGTGGCGCAGAGGTTAGAGAAGGCGAGCCTGTGATCGGAAGGTCACTGGTTCAACTCCACGGATCAACATCATCAAAATGTGGGTGGGAAAGAAACACCCACACCTGCCTCCACCCTCATTTGCAATAAATGTCAAACAAGATGTTAATTTGTGTATGTTATGTATGTTGATGTCTATATACAATCCATTCAACATTTATCTATACTCATTGAGTCACGAGGACTCATTTGCAAGAGAGACATGTTTTAAACAAACAACAACAGAAAAAACACTGATGAGGTACAGACAACAATAAACAGTCATAAAAAGCATATAAAATGAAAAGTAAATAAAAGTAGTGATATACAACAAAATAAAAACAAGCTACATTATGAAATGGGATAAAACACTAAAAACAGGAACATGTCTGTGTTGGTTTTTGCCATGAACTTAGTAGTTATTTAAAATCCCTCGATGAGAGGTCTGAGTCGACGCTTCAGATCTTTTTGAAAGGTTTTGCAGGATACAGGAGCAAAGTAAGAGAAGGCCCTTTTGCCGAATCCAGTTGGCACTGAGGGGCCGCTGCAGGTAATGATGTCTTGAGAGCGCACGCTGTAGCTGCACTGATATGAGTCCGCAGCAATTTGAGTAATTCTGCTGGAGTATTTCCAATGATTTTGCTAAGTTGCAGACCTAGCTTTAGTTTGCCAGAGGACATAAAGGATCCAGGTTAATTTGGGCCTCGGATTTGTGGG